AGGGAACTTTGTACTTACCTGGTGGTGGGAAAACCCATTGGCAGAGAGGAATCCAGGTCCTGTGTGTTCCCTCTGCCTCCTGCCAGAGAGGTATAATCTGACTCCATTAAAATCTTTCACAGTGCATGAAATTGCTCTATTAGCAGTTAATGGCCACTGCTGGCTGCCCTCGTGCAGAGTGCTTCAAAGGGAGAATTTTCCTTGAAAAACACGGATTTCAGTAAATACATTACAGGCCTATTTATAGCACTCATCCAGTTGCTCCTTGTGTCCAGGAGGAACAAGTCTGAACTCAACCAGCACTGAGGCACCTGCTTAACTTTTCTGAAGCTAATGGAACTCCTTATCTTGGTGTCTTGCTCAAAGAGGCCTTTTGAGGCAGAATGAGCTGTAGCTTTCGGGACTGTGAAGGCAAGAAGCCAGGAGATGTTCCCTGGAACATGGAATAGGATGAGATTTAAGATCCTTTCCAACCCAAACCAGTCTGGGATTGTCTGTCTCTTGTTGCCTCCAGGGTGCCAACACTGAGGATCCTGCTGACCAACACCAAAGTCCCTCGAAGCACCAAGGTCCTGGTGGCTGGTGTCAAGGAGAAGATGCTGAAGGTGCAGCACTGCATGGTTGTGGGGATGGAGATGTTTGCTGGTGCAGGGTGGGAGAGAACCCTCAGGTGGGACTGCAGGTCTCACAGGGATCTTTGGGAAGGTCCCTCCTGTGGTCACTGCATTCCTGTCTACTAGGTAAGGCCCAGCTGCCTGGGGATGGGGGTTCAGCTCCCCTTACCAGGCAGCATTAACCTCCAGCATTAACAGGGCTTGCCACAAAAGAACTGTTCCTTCCTCTGGCCTGTTCCCCTCTCCCTCCATTGTCTCAAGCAGGAGCAGCTTCCCATTGCCCTGCAGTGTACTGCTCTGTGAATGAACAGCCCCAAAGAGAGAGAGGAATTGCCCAGCTCAGAGAGACTGGGGCCAGTTTCATCCCAGTGGCACTGAAGGCCAGTGAGCAGTTGTCTCACGTGTCTCCTTCCCCCTCTCAGTTCCCTGCAGTAATGAACCCAGTGCTGGACTCCATCGATGCCATTTCTCAGGAGTGCCAAAGTGTTCTGGAAGCAATGCCTGCAAATCCATCACCAGAGCATTACCCTGTGCTGGAGGTAAGGGGCTTGTTCACCAGTATTTTTAGACACTGTTACTGTTGAACATCAAAATGTCATTTAAAGAACATTAGGGCTGAGGGAAAAAAAACTTGATGGCAGGAAATGTTCAGTTCCGAGCGAACCCTGAGCTGTGTGTGCTGCTCTTAATGCCCTTCCTGGAGCCAGAACATGCTGCTGCTGCCTCTCCACAGCTGTGTGTGGGGAGGGAGGGAGTGGGTCTGGGCCTTTGTGGACCTGTGGCTCTGGAGGGTTTGTTTCCCTTTGCTAGGAAAGGTGGAGTGAGAGTCGGTGCCATGGGCACAGCACTCAACTGGCAGCCACTGCTTGGGCAGCAACTGCTCTGTTAGTGCCAAGGCTGGAGGGAACCCAGAGCCACTGGTTTGGGAGGGACTGGTTAGGAGCCAGCTCCCAGTGCTGTGTGCTCATCCTGGCTCTGGAGAGCCACAGACAGAGCTGTGCCCAGAGCTGACCTGACATTGATGCACGAGGTGCATACAGAGATCTGTTTGTCTTGGCTTTGCTCACAGAGAAGAGGCTGCTGGGGGGGAAACATGCTTCTGAGTGGAAGAAGTGCTGAGAGTGCTGTTCCACTGATCCCCAGCGCCGTGGGGCAGAGCTGTGTGGCTGTGTCCCAGCTGAGCCAAACCTGGCCCAGCCCTGGGAGCCAACTTGGACCGTCAGGAACCATTTGGTATCAGCAGTGCAGTTCCTTGTTGGCATCTGGATCCCTCCCCTTGGCTCTGCTGTGAGGACCTCTGCTTGTCCTTGCTCTTGCTGGTTGGTTGTTCCCTCTGCAGCTGAGAGAGGATTCCTGTGGGATGGATTCATGGCAAAGTCCTGCTCCCTTGGCACCAATGGGTGGTGGCATTCTGCACCCAGCAGGGTGGACTGAGCTGGCATCAGCTGGGAGAGGTCTGCTCACAGCACAACTCCACATAACTTCAACTTAATTCCTCAGGCTGTTAGAAGTACTGAGGACAGGGAAGAGGAGGCATAATTCCAGTTGTGCTTTGAGATCCTCACATGGAAGCTGCCAAAACAGCCTTGTGTCCAACACCTGGGAAGCAGCACTCAGTGAGCAGCTTCCTGTCTTGAATCTGTTGTTTTGTCTTGTGCCTGAAGAGCTCACAGAGCTGATTATATGCAGCATTTCTATATAAATATATATTTTGGGCTGTCTCTGAGCTGTGCAGGTCTGGCCAGCATTGTATTCCGAGCCATGGAACTAGTCTACTGTGTCATAAGCTGTCATCCAATTCCTGGCAGATTTTGGATCAGGAGATGACAGGTGTCTGGGATCATCATACAGTGCTGTGCCCTCACTCAGGCATATAAAGAGGCCTCTGGATGGACGTGTGCCCAGCCCAGCCCAGCCCTGGGGATGGATGGACTCTGCATGCCACTGCCTCCCTCCTCTCCCCACAGAACACAGGACAGAAATGTTCTGCAGGGGGAGAAGGATTAGTTCTGCACTGTCCCCTCCTGGGTGGTGTTGGCAGGAGAGCTGTGTGGAGCTGAGGGAGGGTGATGTGACTGACACCTGCCACTCTGCTCCCACTGCTCAGGGACAAGCCACATGCAGGGAAGAGCTCAGTGCCACTTGCTGGAGGAGGGAGCACAGGGCTGCTGGTAGGCACTGCTCCTGCCTTGGCTGGCTCCTGGCTTGTGCCACCCTCTGGGAACAGCCACCACATGCTGGGGAGGTGATGGGAGTTGTGTTGTCAGACTGGTGCTGCTGAGAACAACTTCCCTCCCCTGCCAGTGCTGATGAGCTGGGAGGACCCTGCAGTGCTCCTGGCCCTGCTCCAGGCTTGCTCTGAGCACAGGCCAAGCCTTCCCTCTGCTCCTGAACTCCTCACCTGTAGTCCTGGGAGGAGAGGAGCTATAACTCCCAGCTCTGCGTGGTGTTGTCCATCCCTTGAGCTATTTGGACGTTGCTGGAGCAGCTTTCTCCAGGAGCAGTGTGTTTGTGCCTGGCTGGGACAGTGTGGCAGGATGCTCTGCCAGGAGGGTGGGCATGTGGGAGAGAGGCCTGTGCTCTCCTCTGGGGAGAGGACCCCCTTGACCCCACTTGAGCTGGGTGCCAGATTCCCAGCGTGGTGCTGCTGAGAGCCCCTTGGCTCTCAGCCCATGGGCAGGGAGAAGTGCTGCACAGAGCAAACACAGGGAGTACCTCTGTGTCCCTCTCCTTGGCTGTGCCAGAAATCCCCTGGATGGATTGCAGAGCAGGGCAGGGTGACAGCCAGGAGTGAGAGGTGCTGGCTCAGTGCCCTTCCCAGGGACAGGGACAGGGGAGGGGAGGAGCAGTTGGGAGGCACTGGAGAGCTCTGGAATAAATACCTGCTGGCAGCTTGCAGGAGCTGTTGTACCCCTGTCCCTCTGCAAGGCATGAGGGGCACAGGGACAGACAAACAGCTCAGAACTCACACTCTGGCCTGACCTTGCTGCCTGGTGCTGGTGGGTGAACTCCCTGCAGGAATGGGATGGCTGGGAAGGCACAGCAGCTCCCCTGCACCTCCCTGGGAGGGAGCCACAGTGGTAAAGAGCCTCTGTCTCAATTCCTGCTCGTCTCATCTCTGTGTGGTTGCTTTCAGGAGTTCTTTGACATAAACCAACACCACCTGAACGTGCTGGGAGTTGGCCATCCCTCTCTGGACAGGCTGTGCCAGGTGACAGCATCCCATGGGCTGCACAGCAAGCTGACTGGGGCTGGTGGGGGTGGCTGTGGCATCACCCTGCTGAGACCAGGTCAGTAACCTCTGGGCATCCTCCCCCTGTTCCACACAGCCCTGGGGGGTCAGGTTTGGGGGCAGAGGGGGCACTGCCAGCCCTGGTATGGCTGTGGTGGGGTGTGAAGCCATGCCAGGATGTGTGGGGGTGTCTGGCAGAGCTGCCTGGCAGTGTGGGTAGCAGAGTAGGGCGATTCAGGGCTCATTTATGTGGGTCACACCCCGAGGGCAGTGGTCTTGTGCCAGGGGCTGTGTGTTTGGATGTGCCATGGCCCATTTCTCTCTCCCTGCCGTGGCCAAGCTGACTCTCACTGGCTGCTCTTGCCTTTCTTTTGGCAGACACCTCCCCACAGGCCGTGGAAGCAGCCAAGCAAGACTTATGTGCCTATGGATTTGAATGCTGGGAGACCAAGATTGGGGCCCCAGGGG